TTAAACCAACTAAACAATAAAAATAATAATTTTATACATTTCTTTTATACTAATTCAAATAAAATAAAATATTTTAAATATATACCATTTATTTTACAGTGCATTCCTTTCAAGCTATATTCGAGTTTTAGCAAACCAAATGACCTCAAAAACATGAAATAACAGTGTGGCTTTTAATCTCTAGGTAATTTTTTCAAGTCATGATCTTCCTATAAGTAACTTATTTTTTTAATTTCATAAAAAATGATAGTGTGACTTTGAGTAAAATTTCTATATCTTCTATTATTTCTTTCCCTCTTAATTTCTTAAAAATCTAAAAAATATTAATGATTTGTAAAATAATTAAGAGTATTTACAACATACTTTTTTTATTTGTTAATTATTGCCAGTATAGATATTAAAAAGGTTATTTTATAAAATCTTTCGAATTATTTTACAAAATATTTCCATCAAACTTCTATGTCAGTTATTTAAAAATAGGGCTATAATTGAGCCAACTGGATACCATGCATGAGATTTTGACATGTTCATACTATAATTTTGCAGGAAAAATATGATATTTAAATGAAAATTTCATAATGATTAAATTTTAAATAATTAAATTTGTATTTAAAATGAATATAATATAACTGTTCAATTTTTACACTAATCTAAAATTAAATTTAAATATTTTAAAAAAATCATTATGATTAAATTTTAATCAAAATCATATATGGTTCACTATTTCTTTTTGTAAGGGGTATCATAAGTTGGCTAGCACATTGCTAGGGCACAAAAATACTAATCATTTTACGGTTGCCCCAAACTTCTATCTCGTGTCCTCCCTTTTGAGTGGTACTTAGTCAGCTTTGATGGTGCTTGCCACAAACAGATAAAGCGTCCCATTATGGAGAGATTATTACGAGCGGAGTCTGGACACAGAGAGCCGTTCGATTTTGTGACTGTGAATAGTAAAAATGCAGTTGTGAATAGTAATTGAGCTTTTACTATTTGTGAACATAAAATCAAGCGGTTCTTCATGTCTGGACTCCGCACATAATAATCTATCCCCATTATGACAATTGAGGGGCCATATTTATGTTTTTTTTTTTCTCTTTTTTTTGGGACATTTAGGCCATTTAAGGCAAACTCACACACACAACGTATACACAAAGACTCGAACCCAAGACCTTTTAGTTGGAAGTCTATGCGCTCAACCAACAGGCCAATGTGAGCTATGTATTTTTTTTCTCTTAATAAAATAAATATTAGTACACTGTTTGTTCTTTTAAGTTAGTAATGCAAATGAAACTTTTAAGAATAAACAACCAGATCAAATGGAACTAAATAAAATAAAATAATAATAATTACAAACCAAATCAAATGGAACTAATATAACTAATATTTATTTTATGATATTGTATTCTTTGGGCCATAGTTAACAAGGCCTGCTATGCCAAGAAAATAAAAGTTGCACATTAGAAAAGTTCACTAAGATTTATAAGGAATAATCTTACATACTCTAAGCTTCACTGTAACAAACTAGAAGATCAAAGAGAGTTAATAGCTGATATGAGTCAAAAATTTACTTTTATATTGCTGGAAAGAATAATGCATCAAGGAAGTTTAGGTCAGGATGACCTGCTTGGTTTTATTTTTGAGAGGGAGCCTTCCCTCTTATCCGGACGATGATGAGGGGAACCAACATTTTCGAGTTGCCTCGGTTGGTCTCTTCCTTTGGACGGCCAGCTTCGAACACCTGGGCTGCTCTTTTTCATTGGATGGTGAAGTTATTGAACTGTTTTCATCTCCCAGACTCAAGATAGTAGATCCCATAAAAGGAATTATATTTGATTGAGTTAGTTATCAGGAGGGTGTCAAAAGCTCAAGAATATATAGAGCCACAAAATAATGTTTGGATAACTCTGGTGTATATGTTAGAAATTAAGGATATTGGGTGATCTAAAATTAACCAAATTATGTATATTTATTAACTATCTCCATGCATTAGAACCTATCATCAATCATTGGCCTTGGAGCACCCAATTGACCTTGCGGTGAGCCATTGAAGGAAGAGGGATAGTGCACAGTTGGTATTTGAGGATTAGAAGGTTTAGAGGTGTGGAGTGTAAATGAATGCAAACCTTCATTTATAGCCTCGATTCCTTCATACAATACAATCGGGAGATAATACTATCTAATCAAGTATTCAAAACCACCCCATCGGGATTGTAGTCAATGGTCAAATTTTATAGAATGATAAGGTTGAAAGTTTAATGTAGGATGTTAATCCTAAGTAAACTATCCCTAAGCACACCAAGAGGGGCTAGTGAATTAGTATTTTTAAAAATTTACCAGAAAAAAACACAAAATTATTTTTTTTTATTTTTTAATAATTAAAAAGTTAAATAATATATTGTAAATGTTTTTTAAATAATATACAAATAAATTTCCTTAAATATCGTGTTGGCCGTCAGATGTGGAACGCTTACGTCAGTCCGATTCAAAAATCCGAACCGGGCTCCGACGGATGAGGAGTTTAACAGAATGAATCGATCAGAAGAGAGAATGGTATAAATCAGGTCTCTTCATCTCTATCGATCAACCATTTCTCGATCGCTAGAGAGCTAAGAACTGGACACTGAGAAGTTCTGAATGCCGATTACAGACTCGCATTGCTAAGGAATCATCCCGATTTCTTTAATTCACTTCTTCCTCTGATACTTTTTCAGTAGATTCGTGTTTGCTTCGGAAGCCGGCAAGCGAGAAGCTACAGAAATGGCGTTGGCGTTCTGGAATGAATCTTCGCTCAGGAATGAGCTCTCGCACCGGTCCGACATTTTCGGGCTTCGGCTCTGGGTTTTGATTGCTATCTCCGTCGGCGTCGTTATTGTTCTTGTCCTTTTTTTACTTGCTATTTGCCTTGCCTACGGCCGCCGCCGATCCCTTCCCTCCTCCTCTTCCCACAGAACCCTAAAACATCTCTTCCGTGATTCTAACGCTCCCATCTCTAAGGAAATCCTCGATATCTTCCGTCTCCATTCTCCTCCTCGCGCAGGGGCCGCCGCTACCCAGAATGCTGCCTCTCTACCCGTCGCCCAGGTTGGGATGGACATCCCGAACCCCAACCTCGGCGACGCGAATCACCACGTCGTGTTATACGAACAAAAGCCTCAGCTGACGCTGCCTTCGTCGTTGACAGCGAGCGCTGAAAGTCACAGCACGGTGGTTGATGTCACTGTCTCGCCAACAGGGATCGGTGGCCTGCCGGAGCTCTCGAATCTGGGATGGGGCCATTGGTACACGCTTCGGGAGCTCGAGGAAGCCACAGGTGGCTTCGTGCATGAGAACGTGATAGGGGAAGGTGGGTACGGTATCGTGTACCGTGGGGTCTTACCTGACAACACCATGGTCGCTATCAAGAACCTTCTCAATAACAGGTTGATAATTCCGAAATACCACTTTGCTCTACATTGTAAAATCTGTAAGATCTTTGTTTTCTTTTAACAGGGGCCAAGCTGAAAAGGAGTTCAGAGTAGAGGTTGAAGCAATTGGTCGTGTTAGGCATAAAAATTTGGTCAGACTGCTTGGTTTCTGCGTTGAAGGAAATCATAGGTAAGGGCATCTCCAACCGAAAATCTCATTTTCCATTCTAAAATATAGTAAAACTAAAAAAATGACGTGATTCATCACCAATCGAACTCCATTTTGCACCCAGGTAACCATTTTTCTCCTTCGCGCGTTTCTTCGGCAAATCCGGTAGAGACAAAAAAATAGCATAGGTGAACGGTACAAATGCCAATATTGGCGTCGCATTGTTCACCCACAACCAAATACCGGAAATTTTGCCCTTTGGCTGGAGCTCGCGAGCGACAGCATTCATACGTTTGGAGTTTGGTTGGAGAAGGCCTAACCCGTTTCCTCTTATTTGACGTTTTTTGCACATTTTCCTATCCAATTTGATGTAATTCTTTAGATAGATCAAAGTTTGCTTTGGTGTTGGTAAATTTTGTGTGTTTGTGTAGGATGCTTGTCTATGAATATGTAGACAATGGTAACTTGGATCAGTGGATTCATGGCGATGTGGGGGCTGCAAGTCCATTGACCTGGGAAATGAGGATGAACATAATCCTAGGAACTGCTAAAGGGTAAGAAGTTCCACTCTTTTCTTCTCTAGAATTGGGGAAATCATTGGGTTCGGACAACGGACACAGCTTACCGTCCAGAGACGAATCAGGTGTAGCCACGTTATCCAGTACCGAGCGAGTAGGGGGTGATGTGGTGCATTTTCATTGGGCTCTGGACGGCGTCCGTTGTCCGAAACCAATAATTTCCCCCAGAATTCAGTCCATGAGATGCTGGATTGTTCTTATAAAACATGCATATAACAATAAAATATGTTCAAAGAGGATCGTAGATATAAACAAAATTCTAAATATCCGAAAGGAACTAACTGCTGAATTTGTTGACAGTTTGGCTTACCTTCATGAGGGACTGGAACCGAAAGTTGTTCACCGAGATGTGAAATCTAGTAATATATTGCTTGACCGGCAGTGGAACTCTAAAGTCTCTGACTTTGGGCTGGCCAAGCTCTTGTGCTCAGAGATGAGTTATGTGACAACGCGTGTCATGGGTACATTTGGGTTGGTCCAACTCCCATAACCCTAATCCCTCTTTTCTCTCTATTAAAAGAATCGTTCAGTTTATTTTCTTTTACTTGCAGGTATGTAGCACCAGAGTATGCTAGTACTGGAATGCTTAATGAGAAAAGTGATGTTTACAGCTTTGGGGTTCTTATGTTGGAGATCATTTCTGGAAGAACCCCTGTCGATTACTCAAGGCCACCTGGAGAGGTAAATACCATCAAATTTCTTTGGATGCAATAAAAATGACATAGAAATGAAATTCTATATAAACTTGCTTGATCTTGATTTTTTTTTTTTTGCCTGTTAGGTGAATTTGGTTGAGTGGTTGAAGAAATTGGTTGGAGAACGGAGATCGGAGGACATATTAGATCCTAAGATTTTGGAGAAGCCTTCGTCCAAAGCACTCAAAAGGGCACTTCTAGTGGCTCTTCGCTGTGTTGATCCTGATGCACCAGAACGACCAAGAATGGGTCAAGTCCTTCACATGCTTGAAAAGTAGGATTTTCTGTTCCGAGAGGTAATGGTAAGCATATTTTAGCACCATGGAATTTATTCTTTAATGATCCATCTTTAGCTATCTCGATCCTTTACAGGATCGGAAAAATGGGTGAGAAGCATCTAATAATCTCAATCAGACTGCCAAAATAGGAATGAAGATGGAAATTTGGGTAGGTAGGCATGACCATCAAGCTAGGTGGAATTGGTAGAGTAATTAGTAGGAGTTAGGGGCATTTTTTGCTTTGCTACATAAGGGCAGATCAAAATTAACTTCATTGATTGCTCTATTTGGTTTTTTTGTTTCCTCATTTCCCATAGCATTTAAGGATCCATTAAAGCATTTGTATTTTTGTCTATGCTGCCTCATTTATGCCATTTTATTTATTTTTTGCTATTTTTCATTCAATTCTACAGCTTATGTAAGTTTTGTTTTATTAAAATTGTTCTAGTTTATGACAGGTTAATTAATATGTTCAGAGTTTAGTTCGGTAGCTCTATTCAAGGTTTGAAAGTCGGTACATAACAACAACATCAAGCCTTTATCCCACTACGTGCGATGGGTTCTCCATAAACTTGATCATTGCACAAATAATTATAAAAAATATATTTTTTGAATGTTTTTACATAAAAATAATATGAATTACTGATTGAATATATTTTTTTAATTAATGAATTTTACTTGAGATTGATCATTGTTGGCGCAATTTGAATTTGATGAATGGAGTTAAAATTGAAATCTTCATTCTCGAGTTTTAATGGGTTAGTAGAGACATAAGAGTTTATAAAAAATCACATAATGAGCTTATGAAGTCCAGCAGGTTACCAAAACTTTACCAGCATTCAATGCAAGGCAAAATAATTAATATGTATACTCTAGTTTCAATCAATATCAATCAATAAACTATCAATATGAATGATAAATAATCTATGCAATCAATATCAATTAAATAGTAAAAAATAATATACTTAGTAAAACAAGAGTATCTCACTAAGCAAAAGGTGCCTATCAATCTATAAGAAAATCAGTAAAAATTCTATAAATCTGTAACAAATGCTGCAGCAAAACAATCATCAATTATTTATCAATTATATTCATGTTGATGGCTATATTATATGTTTCTATCAATTATTATATCATGTATAGCTTTCTATCAATATGCTATATCAATTTATCCATTAATTAGTTTAATACACTATCATATAAATATAATCATGAATACAATTATGAAGAGCAAAGCAAGACAAGCAGCTTTAATGTGTTATATATCTTCATACAAAACTAGGACGTTAAGCTCACTATCTCTCTCTATTGTAACGAATGTTCCAGCAGGCAACAATAATAATTATTGACAAAATTGATTCTGCAAATGAAAGTGCAAGCAAAATAAAAAAAAAAGATTTTTTTTTTAATAATTAGATATATAGAATGCTCGGGGAAGCAGAAAGAAATTTGACTTGAACTAACTTCTTTTTAGTGCTAACATAATAAGATCTTATCAAAAGATAAATCAATCAAAGATTGAAGCAATAATTTGAGAAATTATTAAATTAAATTATTAGAAGGTGCTGACCTAAGGTCAGTAGATCAAATAATTGGTGTATCATTACAATTTTGTTCTAATTAATATTGTTAGAAAATGAAATAAGAGCATACCTCCCAAGTTAAAAGAATCATATAAAAATGAAGATATGAAGAGTAGCATATTACTAGAGACTAAAATGAAATATAACTAAGAAAACACAACAGTTTCTCTTACATCAACCGGAATATGCTCCAACATCATAACTTCCTAGCTCAGCAACATCCTTTATTTGCTCCTTCAGTGCATTCCAAGCACCATAGATTTTATCAGCTTCGGGGTGCTTTGTGTCTCCCACCATGAACCTGCAACTCTCCTTACCATTAACTTCAATAGAACTCCACCCAGCCTTCTTCTTCTCCCCATGCCTCTTCATCTCTGCTCTGACCCTTGCAGCATCTTTCCATCTCCCACCCAATGCATAAACATTTGATAATGACACCTTCCAAGCATTCCTATCAGGCTCCAACACAGATAGAACTTCTGCTGCCCTCTCTGCAACTTCAACATCTCCATAAACCCCACAAGCACCCAACAACGAACCCCAAATCGCCGAACCTGGTTGAATGGGCATCTCTCCAATGAATCTCTCTGCCTCATCAAGTCTACCAGATCTTGCAAATAGGTTCACCACTGATGCATAATGTTCCATATCAGGATCAATGTCATAGTCCCTTTGCATGCTCTTGAAGCATTCATAGCCTTCCTTCACTAATCCTGAATGACTGCAAGCTGTAATAATATTGACAAATGTTATTGCATTAGGCTTAAGAAAGCAACATTTCTTAAGTTTGTCGAAAGTGCTTAGCGCCGCCTTGCCATCGCCGTGAATACCATGTGCTAGAATCATCGCATTCCAAGTACTGAGATCATTTAAATTCATGCTGTGGAACACTTTCTGTGATAAATCAATCCTGCCAGATGTCGCATACATTCCTATGAGAGAATTGGATACAAACACATCAGAATCAAAGCCTGATTTGATTGCATATCCATGAAGTATTTCTCCATGTTGCAATGAAGCTAGTTCAGCGCAAGCTTGTATCGAACTCAACATCGTGATGGTGTCCGGAGCAAGGTCATCGACATTAGAACAGTGTAATTCTGTGAGAAGCTCCAAGGCCTTGACATAATTGTTGTTCTTCAAGCAGCATGAAATCATGCTGTTCCAAGATACCACATCCCTCTCTGTCATTTTTCTAAAAATCCGATTCGCTGAATCAACTTGTTCGAGCTTTCCATACATATCTATCAGCGAATTCTCGATGAAGGTGCAAGGAAAAAAGCCTTGCTTTACCAAGAACCCATGGAATGTTCTACCAAACTGCAAAGACTCTGAAAGCATGCTACCACGAATGATCGCTGCCATTGCTTCGGGATCGAGACAAGCATTTCCTTTTACAGACCAGAGCTCAAGGAAGATTCTAATGCCCTCATCAAGTAGCCCATTCTTAGAATACATCACCACAAGAGAATTCATCACAAACTGATTGCTTTCAAGCTCCAATTTTGAAATCCAAGCATGAACACAACCGAAAAACCTAGGCTCATTCATCAAAGAACAAGCCTGAATGATACTCAGCATAGTCACAAAATTTGGAAGGAAGCCATCTTCCAACATCATTGCGAACATATCTATGGCCTTAACAAACATGCTCTGGAGGACATAACCTGAAATAATACTACTCCAAGAGACCACATTTCTTCCCCCCAAACCATAAAGCACTTTCTCTGCGCTAACCAAAAATCCCAACTTTGAATACATAGCAATCAAAGAATTGCTAACAAAAACGCACTCAAAAAACCTTCTTCTTAAACAATAGCCATGCACGGCCTTCCCCATCCTATCATCCTCTAGCAAGACACAGGCATTTGAAATGCTAGCAATGGTGAATTCATTTGGAGCGGGTGCTGATTCGTCCGAAATCAAATCAAAGAAAACAGACAGAGCAGCTACGGCTGAGCCGTTGCGGCAGTGACCAGAGATCAGGGACGTCCAGGATACAATATCCTTATCAGGCATTTTATCAAACAGCTTACCCGCGAAACCCATTTGGTCGCATTTCGCGTAGGCGTCGAGTAAGGCATTGGCAACGAAGAGGTTGGAGTGGAGGAGACCGGATTTGATAGTGGCGGCGTGAAGAGAAGCGGCCATAAAAATGTCTCTTTTGGCGGCGCAGATGTTTGCCGCAGTGACGAATGTGGCTGCATCAACGAAAGGAGGTTCACCGCCATAGACGCTGGGCGGTGGAAGCGGAGGGGAAGCAGAAAGCATTGGATTTTGAGTTTAATTTAAAAGGGAAATTAGGGTTTCTTTCAACTCTTTTTTGGACAGGGAAAAGAGCGGGTACACTCAGTTAACTTGCTCCATACAGATTTAATGATAAGGCCGTTTGCGGTGAAGGCCAGTTCCCCTGAAACCCTCTTAGAAATGAAGGCAAATGATTGGGTCAGGTGACCGAACCTATCAAATTATTTGCTAATATTCATGATAAATCTTATTAAATTATAAGAGCTGACTCTTCCTCTCGAGTCAACAGGTTTGATAAATTCGGCAAAAACAGGATTTTAGAAATTCGACAAAAAAATAGGATTTTGAAAATTCAGAATTTAGCACGAAAAGACGGAATTTTTCATCCACGCCGACTTTTATTTGCCGTGAGAATTGGTTTTGCATTCTAGACAGTTTGGGTGGATTTCACTCAAATCCTCCTCAAATGACGGACCTCCAGGATGTGGCAAGAATGAATTGATAGTAAAATTTAAATAAGGGGATTTGCATACCTATCATATAATTTAATATATTTACATATTTAATATTTAATATCTTTTATATAATATTTAAATTTTAAAATCATATTAAAAATAGCATTAATATTTATTTCATAAGTAATATATATATATATGAAACCAATCTATTACTAAACTAAATAGGATCGAACATGACCTTGTTCATATTTATCTAATTAAATATATAAACTTAAATTAATTAATTGTACACAAGCAAACAAAATATATGGATAGATAAAATTAGAGCTGAACAAGTAGAAAAGAAAGAAAAACTACATATTATGTACGGAAGTTTGAAAATTTTCTTGTAAATTAATAATGCTCAGGCAATACTTAATGAAATCTAAATGAAATAAGGATTGACATCACCAGCCTTGAATGGTATTGGGATAAGACTAATGACACTAATGATGAATAATATAGACACTTATGCACCGATATCTTAATTAAAATGATACAATCAATAGCCCAATCGCTCGAGGAATGTTTCGAGTCCGGCTCAAAATTTATCCAACATAAATCCAACCAACTCAAAACCAACCATTTTAATAAAACAAATTAACAAATTCAATCCGAACCTAACCCATTTAATCAGGTCAACCCGAACTCTTCTAATTCGGTTGACAAAATGGATCAATTTTTGACACCACTAATGTTACACAAATTAATCCCGTCTTATTATGATCTATTACTGTTAAAAAAAATGTCCTTAATGCAGCCACATCATTCTGCTCTAAAATTTTGCCCCAAGACAGGAACTTTTATTACGTACTCTGACCTGACGTAGCTCTACATTCGGTCAAAAGATTGTTACTCGATTTTTGCTCGGTATTTGGTCGGTATTGCTAGGTATTGTTTGATAATAACGAGGAATACCGCTATGTGAAAATCAATTCCGAGTAATACCAAACAATACCGAGTAATCCCAAAAAATACCAAGTTTTTTTTCTTATAATGGTATTTCTCGTTATTGTTGATATTGCTCGGTATTTCTCGTTTTGTGCCTGCAATCTTAATGTCGGTCATACGTAGCTCCACGTACGTTCACCGGACCAAATTAAAATTCCCAAGACGGCGTTTATTAACTTTATCTTCCTTTGAAAGGCATTGAAATAGCATATAGAACTAATCATGGCAATTATAAACTCGTACAAAGGAGAGATTATTAGGTGCGGAGTGCAGACGGGGAGAACAGTCCGCAACAAGCATTGGCGAGCATCGAGCACCCGCCAATACTTGTACGGACAGCACACACACCGCACCTAATAATTTTTCCATACAAAGACCCTGTAATAAGATAATAAAAAGGATATTTTCAGAGCATCATACGAGTAATTCTTAATAGATTAAGACTTTGTTTGAGATGATTTTCTTCCTGTTTCTTAAAACAGTTTTTTAATATAAAAATTTAAATTTTTTTATTTTAAAAAATTACTTTAAGAAACAATGAAAAAACCTTCGTACACGAAGCCTAAACATAAATAATTCAAATGAAGGTAATTGTTATCCTCTTATGAAGCAAGTGGCAAATACCCACACTATCAAAATTTTAGTAATGAAGTCTACCTATTATGGGCAAGCGTGCACCAATCTAGTCCACTAATAATACTAACATGAGTCGGCTAAGCACAATAAATTTTTTTTCTGGAAGGACCATCCTGCCCTTCCAGTTATACAGAATCACACATAGTGCTTCATATTTTCATCAGGAAAATATAGGGAATTAGCAGCTGAAAGCTGAAAATATGTTTGAAAATTAGTCTTCCTTTTTACTCTCCAGGTCTTCCAAAGCAGCAAGTCTTTCAACTAATGGGGGATGAGAATAGTGGTAGGCTGAATACCATGGATCTGTGTTCATTGTTGAGAGATTCTCTTCCTGACATTTAAAACATAAAATATTAGTAAACCAAGATGGGATTAAAAATGCAAAAAACAATATAAACAATCAGGGATGGTGTGTGAAGCGAACTGCATAAATATGGCGACTGATCTAGTAAATATTACATAGTATTAAAGAAACTTCGGCTTCTTTTGGGACGACTTTCTTACTGCTTCTTAAAACAAATTCTTATTACAAAAGTTAAAAATTTTATACTAAAAAGTCGCTTTAAGAAGTAGTAAAAAAATCGTCCGAAACGAAGCCTTCATCCGGTGCGAACTTCATCTGGGTTGCAAGCACTGCATTTTAGTGTGAAATCCACTCAAGTAGTTTTTTTTTTTTCCAGCCATAAGTTGCTTGGTTCTAAAGATCAACGTTTTATCTGTAACTGCTACACCATTAATTAGAAGTCTAAACAGCAAAAAATTGGGTCTGGATATCTAACCTATTTTTTCATTTCGATGAGTTTCAAATTTATTAGATTTATTTTTAGATAAGTGCAATAATAACTTGATTGGTTATCAAAACATCTCAAAGTAAATCTGATGACTCAAAAGATCCATCATGACTAAATTTTATTCAAGATATCCTGATACAAAAGTTCTCCATTTTTCTCCTTCCTTTGATTACTGAAGATGTGTATCATGATCAAATTACTGGTTTTCCGTTTTGAACCTCCACAATTTTTTTTTTTAACAACTAGATGTTTGGTAAAAATTTGTGTCAGGATACATAAACAAAAAATTGGATAGGATGGATCTCAGAACCATTGAATTCACTACGATTTAAATGCAATTCATGAATACTCATATAAAAAATTATATTATAATCATTTACAAATAAATTCAATGAATTTGAAACTCATCCTGACTAAAGATCTGGTCGAAATATAAATAAACAGATGGCTGCTGCAGCTCCAGAAAACATTATATATAACACAGGGTTAAGGTAACAAATTATTGACAGGGTGCAGCTCCTGAAACCTACTAATGCTACTAAATATTGAGTAAGAGATGTTTGCCTCACCTGCAACTTTATAAGGCCTGCTCTAAGTAATTTTCCATAGCCAAGTTTCTTAGCAAAAGCATCAGCCTACAAAGCATAATATAAAGAGATTAATCCTTCTCAACATGATCGCAGAAGCATTCATTTGTTTCTCTGAAGGAGATCAAAAGGCAATATTAGGGAGAGCATGGAAACCAGAGTGTAATCAATGAATTACCTGAAATTCAAATGCCCTGCTGACAAGATTAAGACCAAAGCTTACGATGTGCTGGATGGGTATTACTGTATGCTGCAAATCATGTTCATTACGTTAGAAATAACATTGCATGCAATCTTTATACAACACAACAACAACATCAAGCCGTTGTACCACTACGTGGGGTCGGCTAATTTTGAAGAAATTTTGAAAGAAAAATTTTAAATCTGTAAAATGCCATCTAACAAGGTAAGGATGCTTTGACTCCAAAGAAAACTTCCAAATGTTCCTAGAGAAAACTTAATTTATTTTTCAAGAGTCCATGATGATATTAATATAAACAGATTTTTCCCATAGAATAAGAGTTCCATGCATATACTGTTGCACTGCAGCCTAAAATATGGGGAAAGAGGGTGTGACAATGCATAGTAAATTATATTAAGATTACACAATTCTATCATCCATAATTTTATCAAATCAATCATAATCCAAAGGGGTGAAAATTTTTGGTTGTGCAAATATGTCTTCCAAGTACAATTGGATTTCTCACAAAGCACCATAAATTCCCTAATCCGTGATAAATATTAAATAAAATAGATCGCTCAGAGGTAAGAAATTGGATGATTTCAGTTTAGAGGTATTGGCATAAATAACAAAGACAAAGCCATGTACTGGGCCGCATGATTGTAGTTCAAGAAAGTCTATATCGTCATTAAGGGTAGAGATGGCACCCCTTGAGGTGCCCTTGGAGTGGGCTAGTGCCCTATGATGCATTTTTGTGTATTTGATAAAACATAAATGCAACAACACATATCAATGCATGTTATAAGCCTCAATTCCTTGAAAACATGTTTTGAGGTAATTTTGGGCGTCAGTTGGCTTGGCAAATCTATTGAGGTAAAGACTCAAAAAAGACCTTTTAGGTTAATTGAGACACAATAGGGTCAAAACCAAGTTCTTGCAAAGTTGCCAGATCAATTAGATACACATTGGAAGGGATATATAAATAATTGGCAAAAGTTCATTAAGGATATTATGTATATGTTATTTGAAGCTTTTCCCAAGTGAGCATTTGTAATTTTAAACCCTAGGAGCATAATTTCATTATTTAAACATATTTTTTTAGGATTTAGATGTTCTACAAATTCGACCCAAAAGAGTATTTTGGTCCACGAAGGGTATTTTTTTACTACTAGCTCTACGGGGCATTTTGATAATTTTCTATTAGGGGGTGTCAAAATGAGTTTTCGGGTCGGGTTCGGGTCCAACCCGAAACTGACCCGCCATCAATTGATTCAACGCAAACCCGACCCGATTAGACAAATATGTCAGAAATCTAGATGTGGACCAGACCCACCCCTAAAACCCAACATAACTTGTTAACCCGCAGGGGGGGGGGGGGGGGGGGGGGGGGGGGGGGGGGGGGGGGGGGGGGGGGGGGGGGGGTGTTGTAAGGCCACTAGGAGAGGGGGCAAGGGTTGCGAGGATGAGTCGCGAGCACGATGCGAATGTGGGTGAGAGCGTGAGTGTGAGCACGATTACGAGTCAAATGGGTTATTTTTAGGTTCGACATGAATAAAAAAAAATTTAGGTCAGATCTGAATCAAATTTTTTAATTTATGTCATATATTGGCACCCCTAATTTGCATGGATTGGTGATCATTTCTAGAAATTTTAAATTCTCTCAGTCTTTCATGTAAAATGATTAATAAGGTATAATGATTATATAATATAAACTATCCATCTTTATTGACTAAAAGGGCTATTCCACATTTTTTACGAGGATTATTGGCTTGTTCTTTCCATATAGTTGACGGTTGCTTTGCTTGACACAAAATAAACGTACTTTACCAAATGATGCACTTGCTAGAAACGTTGCCATGTCGAGGAAAAGCAATATTAGGATTATTTATGCTTCCCTATAATGATGCAATATTAGGAAAAGCAATATTTTATATGTTTCCATATTAGCATACACTAGCTAGCACTATTAGGATTATCAAGTATTTTAAAAGGAATCAAAATAGTCCCACGATGGAACTATTTTGGTCCTTTTTAAGATGTTAAGGAATCAAAATGATCCTTTAATATAGTTGGGGACTATTTTGATTTTCATAAGCAGTCAAGGGATCATTTTGATATTTTTCTCTTTAAGAATGATGGGTATCCTGGGATAGCTAAAACAACATGAAAACAAAATTTCGAACTTCTTGTCATCAAGATTTTCAACAAGTTTAAAGTTATAGGCTTATAGCAATTCTATAGTTACATAAATGGCATTCATCAAAAGGAACACTTTTCAAAGTTTCTAAATAAAAATATGTACTAATAGGAAGCCTACTATATCTTCTACGCAGCCTACAAAAGATTAAAGTAATAGCCACATATAAAAGATCTCAAAGTGTCGTTTTGGAGTAAAATAGAGAAGCTAGGATTGGAGGAAGCTTGTGCACAACATGGAATCATGCATACTAAAAAAAAGTACGTTGTCGAGGTTAAACGAGCTAAGCTGAGCATGAAGGGAGCTGATTGTTCTCCTAAGACTTTGGATCTTTCTCATAAAACACAGTAACTTAATACATAATTTACCTCCAGATCTCCAAATCATACTCCGATAATATACCATAAGAACCCCCCCCAATTTAACCATTAAACATTGACTCTATTATTTATACACACATATAACTGGTAGGCCTGTTCAGATTTATAAAAGGCGGACTAGTGGGGTCCGCCCCCTTTAATGCTACCGCCCATTTAGAGCAATGGAGAGAAAGGGTTTTGGGAGGCTAGTTTGAGAGGGAAAATTTGAATGTGAGATGTTTGAAATTAGGAAATGAATTGTATTAGTAAGGGGACTGGTTGGAGGGAGTTTTCTCATACTTGAATATTTGTGTTCTCTTGAGTTCTTGGGTGTTTGGGCTCTAGATTACTTTTCTAGAGATTTGGGAGAGAACGATCCTCCTCTCGAATTGAGGATCACTTGTATCTTACTTTGTCTTTGTTTGGCTTGATTTTCTCACTGCAATCCATCGTTTGGGGAATTTTTTTCCGCTCGATTTTGCATCATTCTTGCTGTTTTCACCAATTAGTGATTGGTTTGCTTGCGAACTCAAGTATTTCCCTTGGGGATTCTTGTGAACTTAAGTATTTCCTATCAAATTGGTATCAAAGCATCATCTTGGGACCATCAGTGGCTGAAATTTTGAAATCTTTGCGGGTTTTTTGCATCCGGTAGAAGCTCTCTTGAGATCATTGATGTTGACCTCGATTTTGGCTCGAATATGCTCGAGCACCTTCGATCAATTTAATCGAACCCCGTCGAGCCCAATTTAGTCCAAATCAGTGATTGTTCGAATTTCATTTCTGTTGAGTCGTGCTGCCCGAGTCGAGTTGAACTCGATCTAGCCCCAATTACTGACTTGGACCTTATTTAGGATTGATTTCAATCTTTGGGTTCATTCCAATTCCAATTAAGAGATCATTGACTTTCTAAGCTGATTCAAATTTAAAGTCAGATCGGGAAATTGAATCGAGTGGCTCGAATCATGTGTTCGACTGGCTCGAAGCCGTTGCCTGATACTCGTGATCCTCTGCAGTCAGGGCAGAGATATGGAGCAGAAAATGAACTTATTCGCGTGTATTCGGGTGACTGTGGGGGTAGACACGCGAGGGCAGGCTTCTTTTTTCGGCCAAGGTTCGTTTTACTCAGAACGAAGGCCCTAGGCTTTGGGGCATGGGCTGGATTCGCACCGTCTCCCTCTGGCTCTGGATCGCTCGTTCCGACACCGAGATCGCTTCTCCCCTCTTATCTCTCTGGTTTGCACAACCCCGGCAAGAGGAAATCCCCCCTCCACTCTCTGTTTACTGATTCTCAAATTTAGGGGAGGCCGAAGTCTCCCCGATCCGTCTGTTCACGCGACCCCAGCAAGGTCGAACTTCCCTTCCACCCTATCTCTCTCCAGATTCCCAAAATTTCCCTCTCCCTCGCTCATTTTTTTCTCTGTGTATGAGGAGTCTGGAGCCTAGGCGGACTAAAGTCCTACCTCCGCCTCTTTTGGTTCGGACAAGGGCTGAAGCCCAGCTTTCCTTGCCTCCGCCGACGGCAGCCGGATCCATAGCCAGGTGATCCCCATCCTCCTTCCGCCTCCTTCGGATCGGACTGGGCTCGAAGACCTAGGCGCAGCCCTTCCATCTCCGGCACTCGCAGACCCAGGCGAAACTCCTCCTGCCTCCTCTCTGTTCGTGAGACACCCGACGCCTCACTCCCGTCCGGAGCCGAGCCCAAGGACCGATCCCGACGCATGGACCGAGCCCTCTTCCTCTCTCAGATTCGCGAGCCTAGGACTGAACCCGACGGTCTCCGAGCTCTATTCCTTCGCCATTCTTGCGATCTACCTCGTCTACCCGATCTTCCTCCAGCAGGTAATATCTTCATTCATTTCTCCTTCCTCTTCTATTACTTTTCTTCCCCCTATCTACCTTCTCTCCTTTCATATCTACTTTAAGGTTTGAGCAGTGAAACAAGCTCTAGATTCCTTAAGAAATCTGAGAAAGTTTTGTGATCTTGAGCTGAGTGTCACCATACGAATACCTTTGGTTTGAAGTATTATACTCTAAAAGAGCAGCAGCATTTAAGTTCTTTAAAAAAAAAAATCTGAAAGCTTTTCTATGCCTAGTCTCATCTAAAGTCTTTGGAAGCCATGTGGCTCCTTGTGATAGACATTGTTTGCTTAAGATTAGAGTTGAAGCTTGCTCTTCACTTTCTCTATGGTGTGAGAAGGTGCAGATATTTTCCAACTGCTATTGTAATTTCACGGCATAAATCTCTATCCTTCCCATGCAATATTCTTCATGCAGAATTCCACGGAGTTGATAAAATGACTTTGGTTTGCATTTAAATGTTGTCTGAAGTTATTAACTACTTAATGTTTATGAAAGTTTCCTTTTTATGACTCATTTTGTTGTTCGAGATTTAGAAGTGTTTTAAATTACAATAGAACTTGTCAGATTTCTCTGTTTGCTTAGATGCAGTTAGAAATGGGATTAAAATTGAGTAAGAAGTGGTCTAAGTTTTCACATGGATGATTATCTGA